AGAGAGAGAGAGAGAGAGAGAGAGAGAGAGAGAGAGAGAGAGAGAGAGAGAGAGAGAGAGAGAGAGAGAGAGAGAGAGAGAGAGAGAGAGAGCCTGGATTGGAAGGAATGGTTCTGTATGGCACGTGTTACTCATTCCTAATTGATCCTCTTACCATGTGTGTTGCGGGCTTCTGCCCGCACTGGGAATGCCAGTTTTGGTTTGGGGAAAGAAAAACAGTGTTGAACAGGAACAGCATATGCATGCGTGAATGGGTTGCGTACAGTGATGAAGAAATGCAAGGTTTTAGAAATCAAGGCACGTGAGGGTCAATCTGATAAGCCTGAGGCATATTGAATAGTGGTCACTGTGCATTGCACTATTGTGTTTATGTGGGGTGTCGGACTGTCAAGTACATCTTTATAGTGTGTGGTTTGTGACACATGGCTTCGAATTACGATCTGTTCACGAATAAACACCGTAACAGGGGCAAGAGTCTGTGGAGGGGAAATGTGGAGAAGCAGTGGCATGGGAACGGTGGGAGAAGGGGAGGGTAAGAATCGTTTGCGGAGAGGGCGCTCCTGTAGTGGCCTGTACGTTTCCTGAAATCGTGGGGCGTTAATGGGCATGACTTTAGGGAGTACTGGTGGTTTAAGGGTCCTGGTTGTGCATGCGGAATGTGGAGGCAGGGTTGGAACAGAGGTAGGAGGAGGGGAGCTGGAAACATTGCACGGTGTGGATACTATTGAGGGTATGTGCTCTTCACTGTTGTCCTGCCGCCAGTTTCTGCGTCTTCAAAAGGACAGGACAGAGGATGCTACCATCCCCTATCTGTTTCTTCCCTTCTACAAATACTAGGATTTAAGCTATTGGTATTCTTTTATTTTTTTTTTGGACCATCTCTCGATATATGCGTGTCATCCTTGCACAGGGCCCGTGCTAATCTTCTCTGTATCGTTCCAATTTTAACATATGTCCCACAGGAGAATTTTTTCTTGTACTCTAATTGTTAGTATTTTAGTATTTTCCATTGTGCTAAGCGATGCATATTTTGTCAGACGAACACGGAGTTTGAACTTTAAAATTGTTTGTTGGAAAAGCAGGCTGGGGCGGGCATCCTGTGACAACCAAGCGGTACCACTTCATCATTCCAGTGGACCAAACGAGTGAAAGTACAGGTGGCATTGGCATTGGGAGAGGCAGAAAAAGGTGCAGGCATGGCTGGAATTTTGCTGGCGTTCCAACTTCCAAGTGCGAAAAGTGCAAAGAGGAGGAGCTAGGACGCTCTGGAAATGACTATGTCACATTGGACTCTCAATGTCATCTTTTGCATGGCCTGCTCCATGCAAATGGGTATGGTCACTTGTTGAGAGTCAACGGCAGGGAGGGGGGATCAAAATACCTCTGCGGCACCCAGTTGATGGATCTTTTCGACCGAATCTGCAGCATGCTGTGCGTGAGGTTTGTGCCGATGACCAGCCTTTCAGAATCAATGTCACTGTGTGTCTGTGTGTGTGTTAAAGATTGAATTCCATGGCGTGCTTGCCACGAACCCCAAATAAATATCACAGTGGTACACCAAGCCCTGGTCATATATCCAAACTCTTTCTGATGCCACACCACATCCGTTGCTTACCATGACCAGCTTTCCATTGTCCTGCGTAGGATGGAGGGCATGGGGGAAGCGGGAGGGCAGGCAACACGCAAGCAGATCAAACAAGCTAACCAAAAAAAAAAAAAGGCACACGAGGCGATACCAAAATCAGGAGGTAAGCATTCGGCTGGCGGGGGAGTCAGGAGTGCAGATGACATGCAAGCACGCCAACAGGCAAACCAGAAAAAAATTTCTGGTCCCAAAACGAAGCAAGACCAAAAAAAGCAGAAGCTGATGATAACAAGATTGTTTCTTTGGAGTTGCACTGACTCATCAGGAGGCTGTACCCTGGATAATCTGTGGGATCTCCTTATCGATGATTCGGGTTATGAACCCTTTTTGACCCTGGCTGAAGGCAGACTGTCCCCAAGCAGAAAGTAGCAGCAGACAGCAACCCTGCAGAGCACGAGGCAACATGGCGGCACAATGTTAAAAACAACTGCAAGGAATGATGTAGCACACAGGACACGCAGCGTGGCAACCATGCAGTGAAGCACAAGGCAACATCACCAAGGCAACCACTCTGCAAGGGAGGACAGGGCGAGCGGACGACCAACCATGGGGTGAAGACAACGAAACACCAGCAAGGCAACGGAACTAGGTGTGCAAGCAAAAGAAATGGAAGGAACGGCCAGCGGAAGAGCGGCAAGGCAGCAGAGCAGTAAGGTGCAAGGCAACACCAACAACACAGCAACACCACACAGCGAAAAGAGCAGCTTGCCAAGAACGACCTGTCAAGCAAGCGGAATGGTCAGCAAGGCACTGGCAGAGCACAGGCGAAGCAGTCCACACATCCAACATGGAGCAAAGTGGGTGAACCCCGCAGACTGTGGGTTCCAACCACCCACTGAGCCAGGGAGTCCAATTATCCATCGTCAGCGGTAGGGCAGACAAACATCCTGAACTGAGTGCCCCCCCCTTAAAAGTGTTGTAGGCACTCCAAACGAGGAGTGACCGACTGTTTGGCACTGCTTAAGGGTGCGCTGCTCGGCACACCAAAAAAAATGGAAGAACGCATACAAAAGAGAAACAAACATACATGGAAATCGTTGTGTGTGTGTGTGTGCGTGCGTGTGTGTGTGTGTGTGTGTGTGTGTGTGTGTGTGTGTGTGTGTGTGTGTGTGTGTGTAAACACAGCGGATGTAACTTCTGTCCACGTTCGAACTCCATGCCATCAACTCATCAGGGAGGCTGCCCCAGGACACAATAAAAATACATGATTCTTTCTCATCGGTTCCCTTGTAAACGTTTTCTATAGGCCATAGACTCAATGAAAAGACTTGGGCTAAAGGAACAAGGCAGACGGCGACAAACAAAGGCAAGACACATAGGCTAGAAGGCATGGGAGTGGCGGGTCGGCAGACATCGAACATCAAGCAGTGAACCTGAAAAACACACAGCACAAGACAACCAACAAGGCATATGCATCCAGACCACAAGGACACAGGCTGGAGGGCACGGGGGAGGTGGGAGGGCAGACAGGATACTTTTTTGTCCCAAAAAAAGCAAGAGCGAAAAAAATATTTCCTTTTACAAGAGAAAAAACAAAATATTGTTGATGATGAAAGACTGTTTCAATTACAACTACTACTGAATGCAAGGCAGGATAAGTAGGGTATTGTGAGCTTGGGAAGGGCGTACTTCCCGATGGAACTAAATCCGAGGGGATGTATCAGAGGGTGACAGGGGAAAGAACAGGGGAAGGACTGGGAGTAATATTAGGAAGGATCTTTTTTGAAGTCAGGAGGGCATATGTAGGAAGAAGGAGACTGGTACTAGTGATGTTTGGTGCTTTTTGGTTTTTGTGGGCTTTGCATTGTGGTGCTTTCTGGTTTTTGTGGTCTTTGTCCTCTCTGTGATTAGGTGACTAGTTGTGCAAGGGTAGGGCTGCGTCTTCTTTGCCTTCCTTCTCTCACTGTTTCTTACACTCTTGCTTGCCGGTACTGAGCAACCGACTGACACCCCCCACAATAGAAGGGGCTTGTGTGTTTCGCTATAAAAAAAAAAAAAAAAAAGACAGAAAGAAAGACAGATTGTTCGGTCGGAGTTACACCGACGCATCAGGAGGCTGAACCCTCAACAATCTGCAGAATCTCCGTACGCCGTATTGGGTCATGAGCCGTTTGACCAATGTTGAAGGTAGACTGTCCACAAGTAGAACACAGCAGCAAGGCAGCAACTCAGCAAAGCACCAGGCAGCGATGGTGGAGCAATCCGACTGCACAACTTAAAATGACTGCAAGAAACAACACGGAAAGCAGACGAGCAGCAGGGCAATAGCATGGTGAAGCACAAGCCAGCACCAACACAGAAGCCGGGCTACACGGCAAACAAGCAAGGAACACGGAAGACACGGCACGCGGATAGGCAAGTGGATGAGCAGTAGGGCAACAGCGTGGTGAAGCACAAGGCAGCACCAACACAGCAGCCACATTACGCGGTACAGAAGCAAAGAACATGGAAGGCACGGCACGCGGACGGGTAGCAAGTCAGCAAGGTAGCAACGCAGCAAAGCACACGGCATCACTAACACCACACAGTGAACAGAACAGCCTTGCAAAGAACTACATGCACCACAAGCAGGACGGGCAGCAGGGCAGCGACGGAGCGCAGACTGTTGGTTCCTACCACCCTCTGAGCCAGGGAGTCACCCAGACGAACATCCATCATCACGCAGAGGCCACACAGACATCCCAAACCGAGCGGCCTTCCGAAGACTGCTGTAGGCACTCCAAACAAAGGACCATCTACTGTTTAGCTCTTCTTGATGGTGCGCACTTTAGCAGACAGAAAGTACTAAGAAAAATTTGGGGGAAAGACAAAGAACAAGAAAACAGACAGCCGCGCTTTATTGACTGTCGGGCTTTACTGTGCTTTCGGAGTACCAGTGTACCACCCAAATCCGCCCTTACTTTCCTTTTTTCATGCATGTCAGTTTCTGTGCGTTGGGCGGGGGTGGGGGTGCAGAGCAGAGGAGATATGGTTGAGGAGGCGGAGGGAGGAGGGAGCTGATCTGAAGGGAGGGAGGATTATAGCGAGCGGGAGGAGGGAGGACTGTAGCCAGCGGGAGGAGGGAGGACTTTGGAGGGAGGGAGGAGGGAGGACTATCATGGGGGGGGAGGAGGGAGGCGGTCTGGCGGGAGGGAAGAGGGAGGACTATGACGGGAGGATTGAGGTAGGACTATGGCGGGAGGGAGGAGGGAGGACTATGGCAGGAGGGAGGAGGCAGGACTGCCGGGAGGGAGAAGGTAGGACTATAGGAGAAGGGAGGAGGGAGGGGTGCCACATTGAAGGAGGGAGGAGCAAAGATATGGCGGATGGTGAGGGAGGAAGACAACGGTTGGGAATTAGGTGAAGCGTTTCCCCTTTTTTATGTTGAGGAAGGGATGTGTGAGGAGAAAAGATATGGAGGAGGAGGGCGGCGATCTGGTGGGAGGGAGGACTATGGCGGGTGGGAGCGAGGATGCCACGTCAGAGGAGAAAAGATATGGCGGAGGAGGGGGCCGATCTGGTGGGAGGGAGGACTATGGCGGGTGGGAGCAAGGATGCCATGTCAGAGGGAAAGTAAATTATTTGATGAATGATAATGTTACTATTGTTCATCATGAATGTGGTAAATTATAGTAAATAGTCAATATAACAAAATAGTAAAATACAATATCATTATTTATAAATAGTAGTATTTTTTACTATTTTATATATATGTACCTTTTTTAAGTTCTTAATAATGATTTTTAAAAAAATCATTGCATTGATTTATATCAAATTGGATTACTGACTGCCAAATATTTACTATTTAGAGAAAGAATTTCAAATGCGTTATGTTGTGTGCTAGTCTGTAGTTCGGGCTAGAACGAGGCGTATGCTGGTCTATACCTGGTTTACACTACAGTGAGATAATCAAGCTGAACTTTCGATAACGCAGAAGAAGTAAGTTGCTTCTGCCATAGACATTCTTATAGAGGACACTTAAATGCATAACCGGGGAAAGTAGATTACCCCGCTCTCATAGGGATTGTCTGTTTTTTTTTTTTCTAAGTTCTTTACTCTGGTCGCAATGTGCAGAAGGGTGAGCGTACAGGACGTGTCTAAGAAGGCGGGGCTGGACTTCTGCCTTTTGCATGCTGTTGCATATGGGCAGCCTTGGTATGGGAAATGGGGTTACAAGTTCGGGAGAGGAAGTTTCAACACGACCGAGGGTGAGTATCTAGATGCGACAAGGAGGGTCTGGAGCTTGCCCCTCGATGTTGTGATAAAAGAGCTCAATGGTGCGGACGAGGATCTGAATTCCATCATCAATGCTTACTCTTGCCTTTCGTCTGAAAGACTGTGTACGCTTGGAGACCTCATGCGGTGCCTTCTCATTGAGCTGAGACGAGCGAAAAAGGGCCAGCGCAATACAGGAGACGAATGCCCAATTGCATTGGCCTCAGAAAGCCCAACTGCATTGGCCTCAACGACGAAAGAGAAAGACGAAGGGAAGGGGGGCTGGGAGAGTCTGGATTGCATAAAGAGAAAGATGGAGGTGGACCGCAATGCGCCCGTGGATGGCGTCGTGAAAAGTCCAAAGGTTACGGTCGCTGCTGCAGGTCCTTGTGACTGGAAGCAGAGCCGACTTGAACAGGACTGCAAACAGAGGAAGATGGAAGGGGCCTTGGAGAGGCAGGATTGCAAAAAGAGAAAGACGGAGGAAGGCCGCAAGGCACCAGTGAATGGCGTCGTGAAAAGTCCGAAGGTGGCTGCTGCGGGTCCCTGTCGCTGGACACAGAGCCGACTAGAACAGGCATCGCAAGTACTGGTTGCTGTGTTACGCCGACGAGATGGTCAGTCCTGGATCTCCCGGCCCGCTCTTCGGGAGTTTGCTAGGTCACATGTGGGTGACACAGGACTCCTGGACTTTGTATTGAAGGGGATGGCAGACCTTTTTGTCGGCGATAAAGTCGTAAAGAGAAGGTTCAATTCTCGGACAAGAATGTACGAGTACTTGCTGGAGGATGTCGAAGAGCAAAGTGGTCTGGAAGTGGACACTGTAGCAGAAGAGTCTGATGTCTTGAGCCCATCAGATGGTTCTGGCATGGGTGAGGGCGGCACTTTCAGTACCGCCCCAGGCTGCATGGCTCGGGATCCTCCCAACCTGCATAAAAATCCGGCTGCGGAGACTAGGTGCTCTGCAGGTCCTTTCCCTTACCCGGCAGCACGACGGCGGGTCATCTCTTATAAGGATGTTGCGCGGGATCTGTCCATCGTTTACAGGAAAGTATTGGGCAGAGGGAAGGAATCGGGCATGCTAGGTGTCTTCTGTAAGGATGGTCGACTTTTTGAGTCGCTACTTTGGAAGGATATCAGGAAAGCTGTGGTAACCATTTTGGATACGAAGCTGTTCGTAAAGGACTTCTGCGAAATTGAAGGAATTGATACTGTCGGCGATGCGAAGGTGGAGGTTGAACCGGAACTAGATGTTATCAGAGTGATGTGCAGTGTCAGCTTCGATGATGAGCCTCTCAGGCACCAGGAAAGGAGGGAGGTTTACTTGCGGCGGCATATGGAGGAAGGTATGGGCAGAGATTTCCCTCCACCTGAGCTAGTTGTCCTTCCTGTGGATGCGACGATTGCGGATCTGAAAAGGAAGGCCGGGAAAGCGTTCAGCGAGGTTTACATGATGATGAAAGGATTTGAAGTGACAGATATTCCTGCCTTGGCGACATGGTCGGACGATACGCTCCTGACAGCGACAGGTGTGATAGGAAGTGAGGAGGAGGGTGAGGTGCTCATACTTGGCTATGGCATCGATTACTACAGTTTGGGACGGTATGAAGGAGGAATCGATGAATGGGTCGTCGACTGCAAGTGCGGCACGGTCGACGATGACGGGGAGAGGATGGTCGCTTGCGACTCGTGTGAAGTATGGCAGCACACTCGATGTGTTGGAATCTCTGATGCCTCTCCGCCGCCGGATTGTTTCGTCTGCCGTGCCTGCCAAGGGCAGACCCAAACCCCTATCGGTGGCAAGAGTCCTCTATCCGAAATCTCCAAGGTAGACGATACATGTATCCAGGATGGAGGCGGTAGCTGTACAAGTAGCTTGTGAAATTCAATTTGCTGAGACTGCAACGCCGCTTGTTCCCTGAGCACATCTTCGGGCGCGATGCGACTTGGGTGCGTTCAGAGGAAAGATGTTCTCATCTCTTCAGCGGTTGTGACTGTGCTGTCGATTATTATGAATAGTGGCGATCCTCCTGTTGAAGATAGAGCCAGATGTAAATACTTCAACTCGTAGTACGTGGCCGTATTTTGGTAGATTTCCCCCAGGCTCATGATCGCTAGCGCTTTCTTCCTACGATGCGAGCAAGCTGCTTGATTATAATATCCTTGTAATTTGTAAATACATATGCACTAATATTTATTAACTTATATACATTAGTTAATTCGACACTCTATGAATACATGCTCTCCTCTATGTCAGCAGCTATTGGTGCAGTGTCATGAGCATGTACATCATGTCAGTACGCTGTATGCATCGCTGATATTAGTCCACTTCCACTGTACGCAGCATTGCTCAAGTCTAGAGGGATTTGCGACCGCCTGTGAAATGTGCAGATGCTGTTTTGTTTTCAATACAGGCATGCACATCCTGTCCACCAAAATTTCAGAATAAGTGTGTTGCAGTCCTTCACCTCAGCCTTGCTCTCGATGGTTTCCACACTGGAAAGCTGAGAGCGTTCTTTGCCAATCGCAACACTCTCTTCTCCTCTTCGATGCTGCTCTTGGGATAACGGTGAGCATAATTAATGTGACGTTCTCTGCTGCGATGTTAGTGGAGTTGTGTAGAATTCAGCACTCTTTGTAGGGTCGTATTTGTTTACGAGCTTTTGCTTAATGTGCCATGTACCGAAAGTAGCATTTTTGCAAGTGCTGCTAGTGCTTGCAGCACTTCTCTGTGCAGTGTTTTCCACCTTTTTCGCAGGAGTGGTCTCAGCCGCCGCCCTCGTTTTGTGCAGCATTTTCGGCAGCGTTTTCAGCGGTCTTTCTAGTGGCCTTTTCAGCGGTCTTTCTAGTGGCCTTTTCAGCGGTTGTCATTCTTTCCAGGGTTCTCAGTGGTGTTCTCAGTGGTCTCGTCAGGGGTCCCAGTGGTACCTCAGGGGTCTCACTGGTGTTCCTAACGTCTGTTCGTGCTGTTGTTGTCGGCGGAGTATATCCAGCGGTTCTCTACGCGGAGAAGGGATAATGTCGAAAGGCTCTGATGAACTTTTGAGGTGGATTTTTGAGCGATGCCTTTTGGTCCTCCTTTGCTTAGGGGACTGTTAAGAGAGGTCGATGTGAAGAGGTCGAGGTGGGATCGGAAAGAGTTCTGTGTGAGGTGTGAAGCATTCAACATGAATGGGAATCTCGAGAGGATTGCAGCGCTTCTGCGGTGTTTTCGATGATGAAGACTTTTTGGTAGCATGTTTTACCTGTTGTGGTGAATGTGACGTGACATCAGGTAGGGATTGTGGGTTGCTGTGCGATCACGTGCTTCTCGTTTTCGGGACAAGTCAACAAGTGGCTTCTGAATTGTGGCTCAGCAATCGGCATGTGAACTGTGATCTGTGCGCCAGTTGGAGCGGAGTGGCATGCATGCTTAAACCCACCAGTACACCGGGGCCTGGGGGCGCTGGACTGCGCGCTAAGCTTTGCCAAACCGCCAGCGCCACACTTTTTTTTCTTTTTTTGGCTGGCACCACCAGTATTGTAGTGCGGACTGGGGCGGTTTAAGAGAATTAGTGCCTGCATCTGAGTGACGGCAACAAGGAGATTGTGTAAATTTTTGTATGCTAGGGTGTTCATACGTCCGTGTTTACTTGGGACGTCTTTGAATTGCCTGGCTTTAACAAGGCCGACATTTCAGGAAGGAAGTGGCTACTTTCTTTGGGAGGCTTCATTGTAGAGACACCTTTGCATCGGTCGGTCGTGCTACTTTCGAGCGGTAGTCACGAGGTGTCTGGTAGGTAGAGGATGTTGAATTGATGCATTTAATTGGTGCAAGAAGACAGGGAGCGCAGCCAAGTGCAGGCAATTGGATGTGGCGGCAGATGTCTTCTAATAGACAGGGAGTGCATCCAAGTGCGGGCAACTGGATGTGGAGGCAGATGTATTCTAATTGATAAGGGGAGCATCCTAGTGCAGGCAGTCGGATGTGGCGGCGGATGTCTTCTAATAGACAGGGAGTGAATCCAAGTGCGGGCAATTGCGTGTGGAGGCAGATGTGCGGGCAATTGGATGCGGCGGCAAATGTCTTCTAGTTTAGGGTATCTGTGCAAATATGTGGAAGAGTGATGAAGAGCAATAAGCACAAGAAGTACAGGGAGTGCATCCAAGTGCGGGCAATCGGATGTGGAGGCAGATGTCTTCTAATCGATAGGGGGAGCATCCTAGTGCGGGCAATTGCATTTGGAGGCAGATGTGTGGGCAATTGCATTTGGAGGCAGATGTGCGGGCAATTGGATGTGGCGGCAAATGTCTTTAGTTTAGGGTATCTGTGCAAATATGTGGAAAAGTGATGAAGAGCAATAAGCACAAGAAGTTAGGCTGTTGAATAAAGAGACAGAATGTGGTGACTTAACTTTGTGTTGAAGATGAGTTTACTGGCCTCCATGGACGGGAGACGGCGGTTGTAATTTGTCGGTTGATTATTAAGACAGCGTTTGTTATTCGGCGGTTGACTATCGATGGGGAATAAAAGCACCGAACCTGCTCGTGGTGTCTGGTTGTTGATGACGACGTAATCAGCCTCCAGAGATGTGTGTGCCTTTTGAGGGCAACGTCCGAGGAGATCTAACATGTTTTATTGAATGACAAGATGAAGATATAAATCCCTTTGAGCTGCAGATGACCTGCAAAGGTGGATTTGTGGTCAAGATAGAGCTTTCTCATGGGGGATTTCCGGACGACAACTATTACTCCGTTAACGACTCTATTATTGTGTTTTGGAAGGCACAACACAAGAGAAGCTGCCACTTCTAGGATGGAAACTGTTTCGCGGGACTTCAATAGTTGCAGTTGGTCCGGAAGAGGTGAGTATTTTGCATAACGCACTCTGTGTTTGGGGAGCGTTCTGTGAGGCTGTGGCTTTCTTCGCATGTTGGTGGTGAAAGGGAACTCACCTCGCCGGGAAAACTATTGAAACGGTGATGTGAATGAACGATATGGAAGTCTATTTTGTCTCCTCTCACGAAAGCAATATAGAAAAGGCCATTTTTTTATTGCACGAAAAGCGTCGCTGCGTCCTGACAGAGGACATGGCAGAGCAACCGCAGGCAATGTCCATGAAATTCTATTTTGGGATAGGTTTGGTTGTGGCACAAACGAGTTTGAAAAGGGCAGCAAAATCACATGCGGGCAACAAACTCGCGCACCGAGTTGGAAACGGCGACAAAATCATATTCACCTGCGTGTCGACCTTGAAAAAACTGTGACAAACTCGCTCGCTGAGCTCGACAAGGGCAACGAAATCACACGCAGACCACATCCATTTTTTACCGACATCGCCCTTTTCAAACTCCACACCCGATTTTGTTGCGCCGCAAACATTTTTGTTTTTTTTGCCCTTTCAAAACTGCAAGTGCGACACCGCCGGACTTGTTTCTTCTATGTTGTTTCCTTCCTATGGAAACAAGTTTACAATGATCGTTTGTGTACAGATGATGCCCAGAGCTCTCGCAGTTCTGAGATGCAGAGTTATTATTTACCATGGCAATACCATGGCAAGTTTGGAATTTTTGGCAGTAGTTCGTCTTGGCAGCGTTTGGAGCCGGGTGCCCTCTGGAGCGCGGCATTACGGTTGCAGGATTTAGATCAGTTTTTTAACTGAAGCTCGGTGCGGCTGGGATGCTTTAGTGGAGTGGGAGCATAACAGGACGAGGCCAGTTGAAACAGCGGCTGGGATGTTCGCCTGCGGTGTGATGGATGTGATGTGAAGGCGGTTGTTTTACGGCGATGCCTTCCAGCTGGTAGTGTGGTGTATGGTCTGCAGATGATCCACGGTCAAGAGAGAAGCAATGATGAAATGGTGCTGTGGAGAAGGACGATGCAGCGGGTCAACTGACAGGGTGTGCCTTCCTGCTGGTAGTGTGGGATCTATGGTCTGCAAACGATTCAGCGGTCGGAAGAGAAGGGATCGTGAAAATGTGATTGTGCGATCTTCATTCGCTTTCATTGACAAAGGTTGGTTGGCAGCGAGAATGCTGCCTGACACATGTGTGCAAGGTGATATTATTTCGTGTGAGGACGGAATGCAGTTGAGGGTGCGAAGTCGCAGCGTTCTTTGGTTACCAGCTGTTGACGAATGCGATGACGTGTGGAACATTGTCAAGTGATCGGCCTTGCCAAATTCTCGTGCAACTGGTCATTGATCTGGAGGTGGGATGGCTTCCTTCTCAGTCAATGCTGGTTCATCCAGCCCTTCAGAGGTGGAATGGGTGTGATGAATGTTAAGAAGGTGGATGCTTTATGGGTGCGCTGTCCTGCGAATGTTATACTGATTCATCGATCAGTTGGGAGACGAAATGGGTGTGTGACGGATGTGCAGGTCGTACGGATGGAACATCGTCAAGTGATCGGCCACACCAAACTCTCTGGCAACCGGTCATTGACAGATGTGCAGGTCGTATGGATGGAACATCGTCAAGTGATCGGCCACGCCAAACTCTCTGGCAACCGGTCATTGATCTGGAGGTGGGATGGCTTCCTTCTCAGTGAATGCTGGTTCATCCAGCCCTTCATAGGTGGAATGGGTGTGATGAAGGTTAACAAGGTGGATGTTTTACGGGTGCCCTGTCCTGCGAATGTTATACTGATTCATCGATCAGTCGGGAGACGAAATGGGTGTGACGGATGTGCAGGTCTTACGGCTACGATTTCCTGCTTATGTGGTGGGGGCGGATGTGTCTGCTCAGCGGTCGGGTGGGGGGCGATCTGGAGAAGGAACGGTGAAATGGTGACATTGTGCGCTCATCATTCTCTCTTGCTGACAGAGGAGAGAGCAGATAGCATCAGACGTGCAGTAGTTTGATTAGGGCTTGTTGGAGTGGCCTGCATATGTTTCTGCTGCACTAGAACCTGAGTAGGCAGTCCTCACTTGTATTTATGCACTAGAAGAGGGCCTAGTGTAAAGTGTTGTGGAAGTGTTTTTCTTTATTTCCCCTCTGCCTTTGCACTCGTAAATGAGACTTTACGTGCGTGCTTTAGATTTTAGGGGTAGGGGTTCTGCAGAGGGGTTGTAATTTGTAACTTCAGTTTCCAATGTCTTCTTTTTAAGCTGCTTGTAAATTTCTGTAAGATAGGCGTAAATTTCTGGACACAATTCTTTTCTTATTCTTCAGAATATCGGTTGTGCCTGGTCATTATTCTGCGAAATTTTGTGCCATAGGTCCTTTCTACTTAGCTTTTAGCCCTTTGGACAGCTGCTATTGCAAGGACCACCTTCACCTCATCTCCTCCTTTTTTTTGTTTTGTTTTTTTTGAACTCCCTCTCCTTTGAACTCCATTTACACAGGCTGGACGCATATGCTTGACAATATTTGGAGTTAGATTGAGAGAGAGAGAGAGAGAGAGAGAGAGAGAGAGAGAGAGAGAGAGAGAGAGAGAGAGAGAGAGAGAGAGAGAGAGAGAGAGAGAGAGAG